TCATTATGAGTCGAGTGGAGCTGCAACGCTATAAGGCATCTCCTCTCTTTTTTATTCTAACAGATATTTGTTAGTGGAGCCCTGTGTGTGTGTGTGTGTGTGTGTGTGTGTGTGTGTGTGTGTGTGTGTGTGTGTGTGTGTGTGTCCTTATGAATTGAATACTTTTATTCGAGTGTCACACACCCGAGGGTGCCCAGCTCACAGGGGCTTATAGAACATTACTTACATTACATACAGAGGCAAGAGAGAACAAAAAGGAAAGCAAGAACAATACAAGCATCCATACGCACTCAAAGAAGAACAGCTTGTCAGATGTGAATGTGACATTAAACATACAACGTTAATGGGAAGCCTCTAATAAAAGCTGACATCAGTCGTGGAAGAAGTATTCATATCCTCTATTTATGTTAAAGTAGCAATGCCACAATTAAATAATACGCTGTTATATGAGAAAGTCTTCTCAGTTAAAGTACAAACGTATTAGCAGCAAAATAGGTAAGGGTTTAGATTACAGTCTTCAAATTGGGTGTAAAATGTGTAAATATTTAGGGTAGCATCAGAGTACCTACTGGGTGCCTGCAGTATATGTAAGAACAAAGGGAAGTAGACAAATGTTAGAGTAGAAGGAGGTCACTACTCTCTGTTTAAGAGGGACCTAGAAATAAATAGTTAAGAATTAATCTTTTATATTACTGAGTATGTATTCAGTCATTACAGGGTACAGTGGCAGTATTTCTGGGTGACAAGGCAAACGATGGGTTAACAGTGCGGATAGTGAAATGAAGGGGAAATAAAATGACTTTGGGTTAGGTGAGTTTTAATATTTCTTTACATTATTGTTGTTGCTGCCAAACAAAAGCTGTGTGAAGGGTGTGCCTTTATACTTATAAAATAGTTTATAGTATTATGGGCTGTGTTTAAGTCTGTAAAATCATGATTAAATGCTGGGCTGCAAAATAAAGTGTTCCCTCCTTCATGACTGTAATTACAGTGTAGTTACAGGCTGTATGAGTTTATTATAATGGGGTTATTTTTTTGTTTAACTAAGTGCTACATGTACTTCAGCTCCTTCACAGTACTAGGTAATTTAAAAAGCACTTACAATGTAATACAGTATTTTATTTATATGTTTCTATGTTTGATTTGTGTTACTACAAAAGGAACTTGGTATTTTAATCTCTGACAAATGATGCACATTTTATGAACTGATCTGCATAAAATCTAATAAGTAAGTAATTATAACAGTGAGCAATATATAACAATATGTATTTCCCCTTTTAAATAACTGTCTCCAGAGGATGGAAGCTCTCTGAGCACAGACACACCTCTGTACTGTGGTCTTTTTAAGGCTGACACAACGCTTTATAAGTGATATATGTGACCGATAACAAAATATATTCTGCTTAAGATTTCCTCTGACAATTATTTATTTTATAGTTTTAATTGACAGTGTAAACCAAACTTTGAAAATTACTTTCTTGTGGATAGTTATTTGAACAATTCCAGTAAAAGATTAAGATTAGATCTGTTACATTAGATATTTGTTTAGTTTGGCAGCCATGCTAAGTAAACTTTTCCATGCAAGTAGTTTGTCGTCTTTCTGCCTCACTTACATTGTTGTACCCAAGACCTTTTAAAACACTTTTTTTCTCCTAAGTACATTTGCATACATATTGCGTATGGATTAAAGAGAACAGCTACTATCCAAAGCAGGCAGCCTGTAGACTGCATATGAATATCATTGATCTTGTGGTTCACTAGTTAATAAAACACGATGAAAAAGAAAAGCACATCCTAAAGTCCACAAGGATGGATGCTTGATCAAAAACATAATCGAACAGATTTAAAACGAGAGAAAAAACGCACCAGCAGCTATTTGATGAGCGAATTTATCCCTTTTAACTCTCTAACTGTAGTTAATGAACAACAGGAAGAAATCAGAGTAGCTTAGGTTGCACTAAACTCCAGAGACAATGAAACAGGAGAGAGAAAAACAAGGAACTCACAAAAGAGGTGACCTATATCCCTGGGTTAGAAGGGTGTGTGTGTGTGTGTGTCAAGTGGGCAGGAGCACTCATTTGCTCTGTGAGGCTTGTAATAGTATTCATGAAACATGGACACCGTTGCTCTCAGTCACTCTGTGCCTGTGTGTGTGTGTGTGTGTGTGTGTGTGTGAGAGAGAGGGAGAGAGACTCATCCGTTCACAAGTGGAAGCATAAAACTATCGAACCCAAACTGAGTATGTTTCTGTTTCTAGGCTTTTCTAAGAGGACATTCCTGTAATTAATGTACAAATTGATGAATGTGTCTTACTTTGAAGGCTGAAAAGTGAAAAAGGTCACTAATAAGCTACATTCAGTACAACTAAAATACATTCATAATCAATACAGTTGTTTAAATAATTAAAATAGAGTGTAAACAATAAAAAACTCAATACTTTTCCTCTAACCCTTCTTAAAACTACTGGTTTTATTGTGTTAGAAGATTCAAATCAATATGATACAATTATTTTGTACTATTCATGTTCTGTGTCATGTATGTCAACTGAGGTTACATCATTACAAATGTTAAAACATAAATATAAAACTGATACAAACAAGGCAGAAAATTATATATATAAATTCTTTATTCATTATTAAGTCAAGCGAGAAGGCTTTAAAGGTCTTTTGAGATGTATCACGGTATGTTGTATACCATAATTGTTTATAATAATACTTACTTTTTAGACAACACACAGCTCAGAGTGAAGAGATAAAGTAGTTGAAACACTGTATGATTATAGGATTCATGTTAACGGGAGTTTATTTGTACTGGTGTGTGTTGAGAAGTAGTACCTCTAGATGTCCCTCTCTATTAGGTAACCATATTAGCAAATGATTCAGTTTGCGGTGCTGAGGATTTTTATGCTTGTCGGTAAATGTGCTCATATTGGCCGAACACTGCAGGAATTTTAATCAGGTTTTTTAAACTGCACGTCACTTCTTAAAGAGAAGCTACTGCTGCTACCTCGCTGTATTAGATGGTTTCTTTCTAATGTCACCTCAATTTTAAATCGCACACATTTGTTCAGATTTTAAAAGGTCTAACCTAATATAATAAAAATAATATAATAAATCTTATCACACACAATCTTCCTTATTATCTGTTGGATGCTAGTATAAATGACCTATTATGTTGTATTTTAAGAGGTTTACATGGAACAAAAAATCACTTTATGTTTTTCTATGTTGTGTATTTGAGAACCATTTTCTTAAAGTTAACTACTACACAATCTATATTGTAAATGTAATTGTGTCAATACGATGAGCAGAGTAGGAAAGTAACCTACATTATTATTAATTTTTTTATCAGATGGTGGATTCCAAAAGCCACATAAGACTCTGATCATTTTCCAATCTAAGTACGATGATGAACCTGCAAATAACACAAAGAAGATCTATAATGCATCGTGGAGCAACGTTATTTCTGTGGTGCTTTGTTTGTGCTGTGTTACATGAAGACGTCCTCTGTGAGTTTGTTTACCAGTGATGTGGTCACCCAACCTCAAGCCAAATAATGTCCTGGTTCTTCTGTTCTGTTCAAGTAAAAACATATTTTCCCCCGGCGGCTGTAGGCTTTAATTCCTCTTGAGACATCACAGGCACAAGTGTGTGTGAGAGGCAGCGTTCTCATACCAACAAAGAAAAACAATAGGGAGTTACTTTATATCATAAAAAGGAGAAAAGCAAAAACATTAGCCCTGACCTACAGTTGATAGTGTAAATAAACGAAGCAGTGAACAAACCATGATAAAGCAGAGTTCATAATGAGCTGGCAACAGAGGAAGCCAACTAGCACTTTAACAACCTACAATGCTAATATTGTTGATCAAAAGCGCATTCTCAACTTTTGGAAACAATTTCAGCAGAAGGATCCATGTAGTACGTTTTCCTGGTGCTTTTGATCATATTGCATGTTCTTCTTCAGCAGGAGTGGCCCAGCTGTCATGGAGTTTCCTTTTTTTCTGATCCGGGTTAGTTTAAAAGGTTGTTATTGAAAGTTTATTCTTGATCTTGAGCAGAATAAACAAACCATTTAGCAGCAGTTCTGGAGCTTTCAGTCGTCAGACATGGTCTTCATTAGAGGACGTCAAATTGATATTTTAGTCAAGAATGAATTTTTTATCTCAAACTTTTACAGGAACTCCTTAAAGCTGCTATAATTGATATTTTTATAATAACAAATGACAATGTGAAAACAATGTGAAGGGGCAGCTCGTAGAGATGAATTATCACCTGAATCTGTGACTCCCTTTAGCGTTACAGAGCTTTACAGTGAATTTCAGCTCATTGTTTTGCTGTCCCACAACCAGAAACAGCTAATTGAGAGTGAATATTGGACTTACATTCATCAGCTGGACACAAACAGGACTCCAAATGAATGATAATGTTGCTCTGCAACTAATGAATGTGTAGATAAGCAACTGTTTGCCAACTACTTCACTATATCAACTTAAACTGTGCTGTCAATGCAGTGATCCCAACTTACTTCCACTGCCTCCAAGTGGCCAAATATCTATATTACAAGTTTAAAGTGCTGGGAGACAGGGACATTGAAACATCCATTATATTTTAATGACAACTGCACAGCTTCCATCTGCTGAGGAAGATCATGTGACACAGGCTCTAAAACGGACCTTGTGGTGAGACTGTCGATGACTACAGTGCTCATGTTAATATTATATATATATATGTATCATGTTAATATAAATCTGATACCTGTTAGGAGTTGTTGAAGTCCTCATCTGAGGGTGATGTGTTAATAAAATCAATCGTCCATCATAGACCAAAATGTAGCATCTGGTTCTTCAGTCTTGCTTCATACGTCTTCAAGTACCTCGAGCCACAAAATGTCAACTAAATGATGTCTCCTAACTTCATGGCCTATGTGCAGACATGTCATTTGTAGAATTTCCTCTGACATGGTGAAACTCTTTAGGTAGAAAACAGTACTGACATAAATAAGAGTTGGTCACAGCATTTATTTCCATTTTCTGACAAAACTCCACACAAAAACAAACTCGAGACCAAGCTGAAAAAAGAGATCCTTCTACTTTTATTTCATTTTCTTTTTCTGCTGCTGTTTTGCATGTTAAGGTACAGTGCCTTATTAGGTATTTCCACTGATTTAAATAATGAAATTGGAGAGAAATCTCTTTTTCCGAGGACACAGAAAGATTGTATTTTTTTTTAACAGGGGTGAGGTTGGGTGGGGTTGAGGGGGGAGGTTGTGGGCCGGGCGAATAAGAGGAGGCAGGTAGTGAAAGTGGTTGGAGGTTTACAAGGACGGAGGGTTTTTGCACGGTGTTCACAAACAGACAGACAAACAGGGACAGATAGACAGGCAGTGTGAGGACGAGGGGGTGGGAGGCAGTCAGGAGGTTTGGGGTAAAGGAGGAGTGTGAGAGAGGAGAGGAGGAGAGGAAGAAGAGGAGAGGAAGAGGAGGAAGAGACGGTGTGCTTTGTCATGTCCGAATGAAAACAAGCAGCTCTCAGACCCACTCCAAACTTTAAAAAAAAACAACAGAAAACGTAAAACTTTACGAACAATTTTGTTTTAAAAAAACAGACAGTCGTCTAGTAGAAAACAACAACAACACAAGCAGAAAATAACACATGGGGAGGGAGGAAGGGGGGGGAGGAGGGAGGGAGGGAAGGAGTAGAAAGGGAACCATTTTTTCCCACTCTTTTGAGGGGTGTGTGAGTGAGTGCTTACGTTTTATGGTGAGATTGATTCTTTATTGATGGGGAGGACGAAAAGGAGGAGGAGGAAGAGGAGGAGGACGGGGAGGGACAGAGAACGGCAGTAGAAGATTGGCAGTGAATAAGTAGAAAGAGAAAGAGAGAAAAGGAGGGAAGAAGTAAAGTCGTAGTAGGCGAATGGTAGGAAATGGCAGTGATTAGAGAGCTGGATCTGGGTGGCTGTTCTCTGACAGGAAAAACAAAACAACAACAAACAAAACAAAAAAAACTGACGCCACCCACGTGCTCAAATCGCCAGTTGGGAGTCTAGACGGGAGCTGCCATGTTGTCGTTCTGCTTGGCAAGAGTGATCGCAGTGGAACAGTCAGGTTTTTGTCTTTAATTCTTGTAATTCTGTTCTTTATTGTCGTCCACGCAGCTGTGTAGTTCGAGTACACACGAAGAGTGGCTGCAGCTGACAGTGCAGTAGTGAGCTTCGGCACAACAGTGTTACTGGCAGACTAGTGCTGTATAGAAAAAAAGGGGACAGAGGGACAGAGAGGAGAGGGGGAGATTTACAAAACCACCCCATCCTCTCCTCCTCTGTACTTGGCGTTTGATTGTTTTTTTTTGTTTCTTTAGGATATGAGGATGGGAGGGTGGAGAGGAGGAGGAGGAGGACGGAGGAGAAGTAAACATAGTTTTCTTGTACAGTTTGGATATGGTGACAGGAGTGGAGGGATGGATGAAGGGAAGGAAGACAGAGGGGGGAGATAGAGAAGGAGGAATGAGTTCAGGGGAAGGCGGGGTGCGAAGTAAATGATGCTCTGATAATTTAGTAGTAGGTCTCTTTTTCCACCCAGCCTGTAGAGACGCAGAGGAGAGAAGAAGAGGGAAAACACAAAAAAGAGAAAGAGAGAAGAGTTACCTATCAAACATTTTATTTAGTGAGCAAAAATACTATTTAAAACTGTAAAGTCTTAAGCTGGTATTTTCATGCACAATGTCCTAAAAACCTGATGCAGTGGTACTAAATATATAAATGATGATCTGTGAAATGTATGACTCATTTAATGTTTTTCAAAAGGGTGGGGTGGGACTGAGTCCTAAAGCCCGGACATGAGTTTGCACTTTTGCACCTCTGGTTCCATCTCAGAGTCAACAGGTTTTAGGTTAGACGCCTGAAATAAGTTCTGTGGTTAACACAAGTCTGAGAGATTTCCTGGTTTTGTTCTACAACATAAAATTTGTCAGTAAATACCCTACCTGTGAATTTGGAAGCTTTTACCTGCCTTTAAAAATGGCGGGGGCTAAAAAGTTGGTACTGAAGCTACAGTACATGTATACAGTATGTGTGAGTGTACTGTATGTGTGTGTTGTCTTACCTCCGGGGTTTCGGCGAAGGATGAGTTTTCGGATCTCATCGTAAACAAAGATGAGGAAACTGTACGGGAATGCACAGAACCACCAACTGGGCCTGAGAGAGAACAGAGGGAATGATGGAGAGTAAGAGCAGTGGTTAGGTTAGAACTGAGAGACAGTATGAAGAACACAGTACTCATTGAATACTCATTACCTGTCTCAAATGGAAACAATATTTTGTTTGTTACTGACCAGTAAAGACTGTGATCTGCTGTTGGCTTGTTAAGCTCACAGAGACTTACTTGAGTGGGTACATCCGTAGTGCCACATCCATTCCTGGGCAGTAGGACAGGAAAGCAGCCAGAGCTGTTTCCTCAAACAGGCCAAAGATCAAAATCTTATTCCTGTGAGAAGATAAATGCAGAAAAAGGTGGTTAATTACAGCACACATGATGGAGAGAAGAAAAGATGAGATGTTATCTCGCCTCTGTTCTGCTCTTCTATCAACAGAGGACGGCAGCAGTTTCCATCTACATCTACTTTTAGATCATAAAATGGCTTCATTTCCTGCAGAATAGAACGATATCTAGTGGCAGCTGTGGAAAACTGCAACAACCGAACCGAAGCAATGCCTCGTCGCCACCACAGCCCCCCTTTTTTCCTCCGCTTTTCTTCTTTCACAGACAAGTTTAATGCTTACACCTGTTTTTGTAACTGACACTGTACTTCAGAGAAAAGACTGTACAGCGATGGATGGACATATTCAGATTGACTTAAATAAAAGTACCAACACAACAATGTATAAACCTTTAGAAGAGAGAGATTTCATTGCCATCATTAGCTACATCATAGGTTGTGTGTACAATAATGTTTATTTTGTGGAGCATTATTCAGACAAACACATCCTCATACAATGTTCTGACTTACTTCATGCCCTGCTGGAACACAGAGTTACGTCTGGTCTTGCAGATGATGACATCTGCCCACTGCACCACCACAATACTGACGAAGAAGGCTGTGTGGCAAGTGAACTCCACAATCTTACGCTGCTCGTAGGTCTGTACAGAGAGAGAGGTTCAGGGAAACAGACGTGTTATGTCGGGGCTTCTGTCACTGTTAACTATTTACATAGATGTCGGCTGGAGCTGTTTCTCTTCATTTAAGTCAATGTTGTTTTTTATCATTTAAAGATCACTGCTATTAAATTAATTGTAAAGGAAATATTTTTTCACAAATAACTTTGAATAATATCACAACACACAAGAGGGGAATATCATGATATTGTATCAGGTCCCTCAAACATAACCCCTCCACACAAGTGAACATAACGGAAAAAGGGGAACACTGATACTGGGTCAGGTCACTCATACCCATTGCTGCCCGTAGCTGTCCTCCAGGTCATTGGTGGAGCGATCGTCCCAGTTGAGTCGGATGCCAACAAGCTCAGATGGCAGAAAACCATTTTCAGCCATGATGACAAAATAGGCAAAGAACCCGCCAAGAGCTTGGATCATACCTGCAGACACAGAGTTTAGTCACTCATAGATTAGGTTTATCTGACAAAGTAAAATCCTATAGAATATCATGATGTGATGATATACTATAGAAAAAAAGGGTTGTTTGGATTGACTGGCCATCAATGGGAACTGGCCAAAAAGCAAAAAGAGTTGTTGCATTTAAGTTTTTTTAATTAAAGTGCTGATGATTTAAGGGTTATAAAATGCTACACACAGCACCTTTTACACTGTTTACAGTCTGTATAGTATGTTGAACAATATAAACATGGCACCTACCAATCTGTCCATAGGCGATGCTGATGAGTCTCTCATTGACCAGTTTGTCCCTCAGTGGGTTTCTGGGCTGGCGCTTCATGATGTCACTCTCTGCTGCTTCATAGGCGAGAGAGATGGCTGGTACCTGACAGAGGAGAGAGAAACAGAGAGAGATGTTGTTATAATGCTGATTTGTGACTTCAGTGAAATCATTTATTTATTTATTCTAACATGCAACACTTTCCAAGCATATAAAACAGTGCTGGTCCTACACCGCCACCTAGTGTCCTTTCTGTGTACATCATTTCAGGCATAAACTTGAATAGTAGCATATAGAATGTAGAGAATAGCACAAACTTGACCATTATTACCTGACTGAACACCTGTGTGTGCTACCCTGATGATAATTACCAGGCATTACTGCAAATATCTGCCACCTAGGAAACTGTGTGACATGAATGTATACATTTCACGTGTTTGTGTACAGCTGAGCTTTACTGCTTCACTGTGCATGCGTGAGTGATTAAGGTTTAAGCATGCAAGCATGTAAAAGAGCTGAATGTGTGGGGCCACCTGTGATTGGAAAAGTGGGTTCACGCATTGGCCTTTTTAGCGCGTGACTGGGCCTAAACACATTAAAGCCGTGAGTATGTGAGTGCGTCTGGCGTCTCACTGTGTCGTTACCTGGTTTTGTCGGTATGTTTGCTTCCCTTACCATGTCAGTTCCCAGGTCGATGCAGAGGATGGTGATGGTGCCCAGAGGCAGTGGGATGTTGACCAAGATGAAGAACAGGAAGGGGGTGATCTCTGGGATGTTGCTGGTCAGAGTGTATGCAATGGACTTCTTTAAGTTGTCAAAGATCAGACGTCCTGTAGGGATGAAGGTGGTGTATAAATAAATACAGGCTGCTAAGCTAACACTACTAGCTTTTAAATATAGAACACAATGTTACTAACTTATTAACACAGAAGTACAAAATTTGTCTTGCTGACAATATTTTAATATGTATTTCTCTTTATGAAAAAAAATGACCTGCTTATGTCATATGTATTGAAATTGGAATGGAAAGTATATTGCAACCTACATGATTTTCATCTGGAAATCTTAGGTTTACTCTTAGGCACGGTGCTAAAAAACATTCTTCACATCCTCCCAGCTTCACGTCTTTTGTTTATCCCTCACCTTCCTCTACACCAGTGACGATGGAGGCAAAGTTGTCGTCCAGCAGGATCATGTCTGCAGCTTGTTTGGACACGTCTGAGCCAGAGATTCCCATGGCAACACCGATGTCAGCCTTCTTCAGGGCAGGAGAGTCGTTCACACCGTCACCTGTCACAGCCACGATGGCACCCTGACAGAAAAGGATGATACACAATTTAGGGGTTTTTATTCCCTATTCAATGCTAAAAATGCACTTTTTTTCCATTACATGCTTGTTTGCATATTTAAATTTAACAACTGTGTTACAGTAAATGTACCTGTCTCTGGCAGCCTTCTACAATGATAAGTTTCTGCTGTGGGGAAGTTCTGGCGAAGACAATCTCTGTGTGGTTCCTCAAAATATCGTCCATCTGATCCTGATCGAGGTCTTTCAGATCTGTACCATGGATCACACAGGCCTTGGCATCCCTACACAACACAGATAAAGCAAAACACTCTTATACACTTCTGTATACCAAGTAATAGAAGCTACTGTCAAATAAAAGCTGCTAAAAATTGCAAAAGCCTACATCCCACTTCTGTCCTGCGGTGCTGTGGCAATGCATTTTCTGTCTTACCTGGGGTTGACCTGGCTGACAGGGATGTTGAGGCGTGCAGCAATGTCTTCCACTGTCTCGTTGCCCTCAGAGATGATGCCCACACCCTTAGCAATGGCCTTGGCTGTGATCGGGTGGTCACCGGTAACCATAATAACCTGAAATAAAGGAGGAGGAAGGAGATGAAGAGGTAGGAGATGAAAGGGAAGGAAAGTAAGAGAAGAAAAAAACAACAGGATAGGAGGAAGAGGATGAGATGAAGAATGAAAGGATAATAATGATGAGTATGAGTTGAACAAAAATAATTCAACTCATACTATGCCAAAAACAGTCTATGAAATTTCTCTAAAAGTGTGTGTGATAGTCATCCACAGCCATTCATTCAGTCATTTAAATGCAAGCTGTGAAAGGTGCCTACCTTGATGCCAGCAGAGCGGCACTTGCCCACGGCGTCAGGCACGGCAGCACGGGGAGGGTCAATCATGGACATGAGGCCTACAAAGCAAAGGTTGTCTGTCTGGAAGTTGACGTCATCTGTGTCGAAGGCAAAACCTTTGGGATACTTGTCCTCTGGCAGGAACAGATGGCAGAAACCTGGAGGAACAAATTAATTGTAAATAGAAGAAAGGAAGATACTTTTCAATAAGATACAGAATATACCGTTATTGCTAAGCTCTAATTCCAAATCATGAACTTTTGTTAAATTACCACTATTTTACTATCTTCTATCGTCCTTACCCAGTACTCTCTCTCCGAGGCCTCCCAGTTCCAGATAGGCATTCTGGAAAGCCTCTTTCAACTCATCATCCATGGGCTGCTCCTTGCCCTGCAACATGATGCTGGTGCAGCGGTCGAGGATCCTCTCTGGGGCTCCCTTCATCACCAACAGGTAGCGGTTGTCACTTTCATCTTCACCTTCGTGAATTGAGAGCTGATGGGAACATATTTTAGTGTTATTATTGGAACCATTTAAGATCTATGTAGCCTATTTACTACGAATATCTGTAGATGGTATGCATTATTTCTTAGTTACGTGAGTAAGCAAAGGGGGCAGACCTGGTACTTGTTGGTGGAGTTGAAGGGGATCTCGGCCACCTTCTTGTTCTTGTCCCTCATGGCCTTGACGGAGCCACAGGACAGCTCAATACACTTCAGCAGGGCTGACTCAGAGGCGTCGCCAGCCACATCACGCTTAAGGATAGGCAAAGATTCCTGGCCAGCCTTGAACACAGCACGGTTGCACAGAGCAGCGACGCGGGCCAATGACACCCATGTTGCGGAGCTTTTGTCAAAGGAGGAGCCTAGAGAATGATAAAAAGGACAAATGAAAATGTACTGCCAGGTGTCTCAACTTATCCCAGTCACCAAAAGGGGGCAGCCACACCCAGGAAACCAAATTTTTCTTTTTTCTTTCAGAAGTTGCAGACAAGGAGTAAAATTATATCTCAGCCTGAAAAAAATTCTTTTCTAGTCTATGGTTTAAAATGAACAATTCATGTAACTTAACATGAACTGCAACAGAATGTAGATCCATTCATTATCTTGTTTAAAATGGTGAAACCGGCAGCCAGTGAAAAAAAACACTGCACGCTCAGAGTGTGCTATGTTTAGCAAAGGCAACCTCAGCAACAGGGAGCAATCTCTCTGAGTGATTACTTGATAAAAACTCGAACTTAAATAACTTGATTTCAACCAAACATACAGTTTATGAGTACTAGGAATTTTACAGATGTTCATTTTGGATGCTAGTAAGTAATGCTGCCATAGAAAAACTAAGGTCATCACATTCTTAATATTTTACAGAGAGACACTGTTTTAATGCACACTGTGTGAAATCAGGAGAGAGAGAGGGGAAACTCACCAGACTGGTCCTCGGTGGTGTCAGCCTCGTGGATCTGGTTGTCGAACCACATGTGGGCCACGGTCATCCTGTTCTGGGTCAGGGTGCCAGTCTTGTCGGAGCAGATGGTGGAGGTGGAGCCCAGCGTTTCCACAGCCTCCAAGTTCTTTACCAGGCAGTTCTTACGAGCCATTCGCTTAGCAGTCAGTGTGAGACACACCTGAGAGAGGAGAGACGAGAGGGAGGAAAGCAAAGAGGGAAACGAATGGCAGAGAAAGAACACAATGGCAAGGAGAGAAAGAAAGACAGGAGGAAAGGAGATGTTGACGATAGAATAAGACAAAAAGAAACAAACAAACCAGAGGAGAAAGAATTAGTAGCCATCTGGTAAACTAACAGCACAGGTGAACATCTCCAGGTGTTGAACTAACTTCTGCCAATGAGCAGATACAACAGTGTCATACTGTACCTGAAATACTCAACTACGCCCATAACCAAAAAGCCCTGACACCTGGAGATGTTAATCTTACTCACTAAAATGTCACTCTACAGCACAATGCACTAAAATCAAAACCTATTTACAAAAATAAAAGAACAGCCCAAACAGCGATGCAGAAAGAATATGTGGCACAAATGAGTGAAGCAGTGAAGCAGAGCAGCGGTGCATTATGTCATCATGCCAAATACGGCAAGACCCATGGGCCAAACAGAACTAGCCAAGGCCAAGCAGAAGAGGCCGAATTCAGTCATTAGTCTAGTATCATTTACATTAGCTAGTTGTTGTCATTGCAGATAGCACCGAACTGGCCTGGAAAAGAGAGAAAGAGAGAGAGAGAGAGAGGATGATGGAGAGAAAAGATAGAGACACACAAACAAATATGGGGCTGCCTTGGGAGAGAGAGAAGAAAGAGATGGAAGGAGAAAATATAAACGGAGACAAAACACCACCTTCACCACAAAAACAGATACCGATAGGACACACAGAAATACAAGATACACACAGAGATGCACACGGACATACTGCAACATCACAACACACAAACAGAGATACAAGAAGCAAGGACAAAATCAAACAGCAGACACATGACAACAACAGCTAAAACACTGAGAACACAATCAGACATGGGTGAAACTACAAACGGCTTGAGGATTCTCATCGATTTACCGTTAGGACTACCTGTATTATATTCAGTAGGTTATTATCTTAATAACAAAATCTACAATAGAGTGTGGCTTATTTGTGGGCTAAAATAAACAAACCATCATTGTCTAACTTTTAAAAGCGATGTTTGTGAGTTAGGTTCTGTTTGGATAGAAAAGGGGGCCTCAAATAGTATTTGTCAAAAAATAAAAAACATTTAAAAGCTGTTCCTGTTTTGGTGAGGAATCATTGTGAGTCCAAAAGAATGTACATTTTCTGGGATTTGTTTTTAGCTTCTTATATGAAAATACTGTTTGACCCAAGTCTACGCAAAACACTGAGGAGAGACAAAACACACATAGACCGTAAAGAGAAACACACAATAAAAACAGCTCGAAGTGAAGGAATCATACAACAACTTTGTAAACAGTTGAATTACTCACATTCCTTCAGTCCCTCTCAAAGACTAAAAACACAACTAATGATCACACACACACACACACACACACACACACACACACACACACACACACACACAGTTTCTAATTTCTCTGTCTACTCACAGTGACTGTGGCCAGCAGTCCCTCTGGCACATTGGCGACAATGATACCGATGAGGAAGATGACGGCCTCCAGCCAGGTATAACCCAGGATGATTGACAGGACGAAGAAGCTCACGCCGAGAAAGACAGCCACGCCTGTAATGATGTGGATGAAGTGCTCGATCTCCTTAGCAATAGGCGTCTGAGGAGTAGAGGAAGATGTTTGGATTGATTGAAGAAGATGATTGACTGTTTTCACTAGACTGCTAGGAGTTATACTAAAACTAAGAAACTATATTTTATGCCAAGGTACATGAAATTACTTCATCTGATCCAGAACACTTACTAAACACAGGAAACTTCTTAGGTAAGTTGTTGTTTTTACATTAAGAATGAATATATTTATGAGCAGCTGAATAACTATTTTAGGAAGCATCCTCCATTATATGGCTTATAAATGATACAATGAATAATAATGATTATTGTACCTTGCCAGTCTCCAGACCTGAGGTAAGAGTGGCGATGCGGCCCATCACTGTACGATCACCAGTACATACAACGATGCCACGTGCTGTTCCTGGAGAAAAAGAGGACAGAGCGGGTTTTGCGAAATAATCTAATACTTTATCTGTTCTAGGAAAGAAAAAAGGAAATCCAAATAGAGAAAAAAAGAAACAGACATTGAAGAGGACCGCACGGCCCTGCAAAGAGTGGTTTGTTCAGCTGAACATAAAATAACAGGTACTCTACCTAAAGGATATTTACACCAGCCACTGCAAGGATAAGGTTAGGGGGGAATCATTAAGGATCCCAACAACCCGGATAACAACCTTTTTCTTTCCTGCTGTAATTGGAAAGAAGGTACACCAGGCCGGTATATCCTATCTTATTTAAACGCACAAACTGAAGGAACTGGCGAGATTACATTTCACTACTATTACATATATGATCTCTATGATGTCTATATGATTAAATGTGAAAAAAACTTTGACTGACTGATACCTCAAAAAGAAAATATGCAGACTGTGAGTTTAGATGAATGTCTGGATAGACTGGACAAAATGATGACGAATGTCCACCAGAGGGTGCCATGTATTATAATTTTCCTATTCTATCATTAAGACGACCACGTTGTGAGTTGCAGGACCTGCCAATAATATGAGGAACTGAACAGGAAAGGAACAGGGATGAAGTTAGAGGGGGTCACACTTCCAGTCTCTGAGCTCCCCTGATGACCAGTAATCACTGATCACTCCTTCATCAAACCAAACACTTCGACCGTGACCTACAGCGAAAGCTAATGTGTAGCGTCTTTGTTTGCACAACTACCTGAGCACTGAGCCAGAGCAATACAAACACACGCATGCAGCTATATGAATAAATACACACACACATATAGAAAAGTCTATGCAAGACGGACAGTGTTATTACTTGTACAGGCGATGAATACGATGGTAATTATGATTACTAATATTGGATGGAGGTTATGGTGATCTTACCCTCCACACAGTTAGTGGAGAAGAAGGCAATGTTGCGGGTTTCCAGGGGGTTGTCATGGGTACAGTCTGGTGACCTGGTCTGGGGCTCTGATTCACCAGTCAGGGATGAGTTGTCCACCTGGACATTTGGTATGTGTGTGAGAGAGGGGTAGAGAGACAAAGAGGAAGATAAGGTAGCGAGTAACTGGTTGAGTGTGTTCATGATAAGGTGAATTCCAGATAGAGACAGATTGTATGTGTTTGCTCTGTTTTAATTTTCTTTGTTCATGCTTGCTGTGCCTCTGATTACGGTTTGTGTTGCTGTGCACAGGTCTTTTGTGTTTTAATACAGACATTACATTTCATAAAAATGTAACTTCCCAGCAAACATTCAGAGAGTGATTTGAGGTTCATATGTGGGCCTGCAGGAACACTGAAAATCTGTGTGAATTCAGGATGAAGATAAACAAATGATCAGTTTTTGTCCAGCTAACAAAGCTGTTTTAGTGTGAATTTCATATTTATATTGTGATGTTGCTGAGATGTTTCAGTTTAAAACACAACGCAACCACATTTTCACAGTTGGCCGCTGAAAGGGAATAAGCTGAAAGGTAGTGTGTTTACTTGTAACAAATCCAAGTGCTTTGTGTAGCACCTGAAAACGTAACACTCAACAGACGCCTTACTCAAGGGCAACTTTACAGTAGCTGCTGGTTTCTTCCTTTGGGTCACATGAATACAGGAGTGTATCTGTGCCTGTAGCTCACCTTGCAGCCGTGGGAGGAAATAATGCGGAGGTCAGCGGGGATCCTGTCTCCTCCTTTCACCTCCACCAGGTCTCCTGCCACCACCTGCTCAGCATTGATCTGCATCTTCTCTCCCTCACGGATCACCAGGGCTTGCTGGGAACACAGAGAGAGAGAGAGAGAGAGAGAGAGAGAGAGAGAGAGAGAGAGAGAGAGAGAGAGATGTGTAATGCCATAAATAACACAAAATCTCTGTAAGTAAAGTATTTAGAGATAGGTCAGAATAAAGGTGAAACAGCACATCAGTTTAAAAACTAAAACAATTGAAAGGAACATCACAGATCAAGAAAAAATTAATTGTGTGAAAGCTGTGACAGCATGATACTGTGGCATGCAGCTTTATAAAAATAGAATCAAACTACTAACTCCTACACACTGGTCCTTTAATCTACAATCAACAACAAGCATTACTACAGGTCTTATTTAGAAGAAATTATTTGCTGTCATCTCCTGAATATAGTGATATATGCCTTTCTAAAATAATTTAACAGCAATACATGGCCTTTTATGGGTTGATAAAATTATCCACCTTTAAAACTCAACATGTTACAATAAACTGATTTATTTGTAATTGTATTTCTTAAGTTGATGGCTATGAGAATCTTAACACAATGTTTTCCTTTTCCCAAAAAATAATTTTCTTTATTATAATGAATACTAATGAATTGGCAAGGTGTTCCTACAAAGACGCTTTTTTGGTATCTCTTTGGTCTTACTTCCACTATCTTCTCTTGCCAGTCAAACTTGTGCAAAACTTTTACTGTAAAACCAATAAAAAAAATAAAGGAAAAAAAAACATATCACAATGTCCTGGTTGAAATATTGAGTGTCCATTACCTGAGGAACCATGTTCTTAAAGGATTCCATGATCTTGGAGCTCTTTGCTTCCTGGAAGTATGAGAAGCAGCCAGTGATGATGACGACAGCTGACAGCACGATCCCCAGATACAACTATAAAGAGAAGGAAGGAAGAAAGATGACACTTTCATATTTAATGCAGTAATGAATTGATTGACTTCACCTTTATCTAAAAATATATCACAAAGGAAGAGAACAATAGAGAGAGATACATACAGAGACTAACTTGACCTCCAACACTGGACTGTAGAGGAGTCTGAGAGGTAGAGAGGCTAATTAAGGAATTTAAGGCTTTTGTAAAGTTTAAATTCTAGAAATAACACAGATAGTTATCAAGCCTTTCATTATATTGTTTAATCCTGTAGCTGACAGCAGCATGTACTTTGATTTGGTCCTCTGGAGGCCATCTACTCATTTGTGGTTTTAGGACTATTCTAGTGTATCCATTGCCTTTTTATTGGATCACTATTACAAGGTCTAAATCTTTTAAATCATCCCATACAGCACTCCCATCTATGTCCTATATCACCTGACATAACTGTAACTGTGTGTGTGAATTTATATTGTGAGTGTGTGATACAGTCTGGTCACACATGCTGATTCGTTGCTGTTGTTGTTTCCGACCCTGAGTCTTCCCCTGTGGTCTGAACCAAGTATTTTGTCCTTTCATACTGTGTGTGTCATCACCGTTTAGTCAGTCCCCGGCTCTACGCTGCGCTCTGACCCAGCTTGAAACAGTGCTGACCCATGAATGCCCTTCTCTTACCCTGCCATTACCAACGCCAGGAGTCAAATGCCCCCTGTGGCAGGCCCAAAATGGATGTTAAGAGGATGGTGTCTGTCACACTAAAGATGGTTTGGCTGGCATGATTCGGACAAACAGCTGACACATCCTTTATCACTAACACAGACACATCCCCAAGGAGTAGTGACTCAGAAAATCGCTTTTTGAGTGATGTGCTGGCAGCCATAGAGCACGCACACAAACACACTAGTGGCAACTCATCGTTCTCTATGTGCTAACCCCCTCCAGTGGTTTTTGACATGTGGCTCCTCTCAGGTACTGCACAAACAGTGGCGGACTGAGAATTAATTTTATCATCATCCATCCATCCCTAGAACTCTCCACTTACGTTATCCCCAGCGGGCTCGTCCTCTGTGGCAGCCTGGATGGCATAGGCAAGAAAGCAGAGGATGGCACCGATCCACAGCAGGATGGAGAAGCCACCAAACAGCTGGCGACAGAACTTGACCCACTCTGGGGTGGTGGGGGGTGGAGTCAGTGCGTTGGGGCCGTCCCTGGCCAGGTACTCTGCTGCCTTGGCATTGGTCAAACCCTAAGAGGGGCAGAGGACAAAAAGGAAGATGGATTAAAGGAGAGATGGATGAGCAGAGACAGTGAAGAAGTAACAAAGAAAGTAAGAAAGGAAGGAGAGAGGGGAAAAGAAAGACAGTGTTGTAAATGGGACACACTAAAATAAACTCTACAAAGTCTAAACAGATTTTCAAAGAGGTGTCCTGACTCCTGACGGGGATATCGGCGTAAATTGAATAACTGTTGAATCGTCAGCACTGTGTTAAATCTGGACAAAAACAACCGTGATGGTGGAACTGATCTGAGAACTCACCTGGACAATATCAGTGTTGTATTTCCGGCAAACCTCCTCAACAGACATTTTGTGTTCTGTCTACAAAGAATTAAAATAGAAAGTGAACATCAACAACCTGTCAGTTATCATGTCATTTCAAAACTGCATTCAAGACAAGTAATACATGTGATCTAATGATACTATAAACCAATGTAAAACGTTACAAATTTTGAATATTAAGGTGTCCTGAGGAATTTTACTCTTGGAATGATGGACTAAAATATGTTTCTGAAAACAAACATCTGAGGCAAATAATAGGCAACAATAGTTCCATGATCCACCCCCTGGTGGCATGGTCTGCAGAGGCGAGGCAAGCATGTAACAATGTGGAAGCAGACTCTCAGTTAGAACAACAGCGCTCAAAGCTGGCAAAAAGGCAAAGGGGCGGCAGAAGCTCAATGTGTAGGGACTTGGCTTGGGAACCGGTTCAAGTCCCACAGACCACAAAATATGGAGTGTGGACTGGTAGCTGGAGAGGTGCCAGTTTCACCTCCTGTGCACTGCCGAGGTGCCCTTGAGCAAGGCGACCTAACCCGGGGCGCTGTTAACGTGGCAGCCCCATCACTCCACCATCTCTCCCCCTGTTGCATGTCCACAAGTGCATGAAGTGTGTATTTCAGCCTGTGTGTGTATAAAAAAGAGTGAAAAGAACAATTTCCCCTAGGGAATTAATAAAGTATATCTTCAAAGTTGTCCAAGACAAATGAGACAAAATCCTTTATTTTGTATTTCTTCCTCAGAGAAGTTTGGGTACCGTTTTAGTAGTGTTAAATAATACTCTGGAAATCAAAATGTGTATCTGCCTCAGTTGTTAGTTTTATAACAAAGGGATATCCTGAGGGTTTGGCTTCCTGCCCCATAGAAGAGCAAATCCTTCCACAACAGGATTAAATTGCTCTGGCATATTACATCAAACCACACTGAACACTTCTGTATGGCAGCTGCAAGGGAATACTACGTCTCTATTATCTCCTTTTAAAACAGGGAGATTAGATTACAGTTGGATCGTAGCTCTTTGAATGCTGGAGTGAGGCCAGGATACGCTATCTATGAACTCCTCACCACGCAGCTGGGACTTCAAGGCTTTTGTTATGCCTCACTACTTATGCTTTGATTTTGAATGAGATTTTGGGTTGCTTGTGTGCCACCAACCTGGTAGTAGGTGAAAAGAAGCAACCAAAATCATATGACATATTACAGCGAGGTCGCAGGAAGTAGGAAACTGTGTACTTACTATGGGAACTTCCTTCTTGAGGTCGTCCAGATCCTTGCCTCCCTTCTTTTTGGGTGACTCCTTCTCATCCTTGTCCTGCGTGGTGGCCACGCGGTAGCTGTCCGACCGTCCATACTGTAACACACAAAGACATACCGTCAAATGACTTTATTACACTTTTATTATTTAACTTTTGAACAGTCGACACCCTAATCCTTGTTCTCACGGCCACACAAGAAGACGTCCGCAGCAAATTACTACACACAATTCTTCAACAACACAATCAAAACTTCACCCTTTATAAAATGGAATCACCACCCGAAAGAAAAGGCAATAAAGTCAAAGCAAAGAAAGCCTTGACTGTCCCACTTGTAGGTGTATCATGAACACCAAATACACTTTCACTTAGGATTACCATTTTAAGACCAAGTTAAAACATCTAGATTGAGATCCAAACTTAGATGTAATCCCCTGGTGTGAGAAGGGGAACTTGACACTTCCTGATTAGATCTGGCATCATTAGAGCACAGGCCTGTCTCAAGAGCTCCACTTAAACTGCAATTCACACCTCTACTGCCCTTCAGAATACAGATGCTGTTGCTGTGTCTGAGAGGAGGTCAGGAGAGAGTGAGATCCAGGGAAAATGAAGGGCATCATGGAATATTCAGAATCGCCAATACCCTACATTAGTGTGTGTGGGTGTTGGAGCCATTTCTGTCAATTTATGAAAGTGTGTTTAAGTGTGTGTATTACATATAGACATATTACATCTGCTTGTTGAATAATGGACGTCGGGCAAAACCTGCAGCTTTGTTTTATTTAATTATAATGTCATTACTATTATTATTAGTTTCAGTGTTCTAAGATTGTCTAAATGCCAGGTCCTGTCAAGAATAACATCCTGGGGGAAACATTACATACTTGTAATTGTTGACATGAAAGAGTGAAATTAAAAATGAACAGAGGCTTTTGGCAACTTCAGTCCAAAACATACAGGAAACTGTGTATTTGGACTACTGAGATATGGCAGCAGGAAAGCAACTAAACATAAATAAAGGTAATAAAGCTTATAAATGTTAGAATAAATACATTTCTATTAGTGACTTGACTAATCCTTGAAAAGTCTTAATGTTGGTAAGTGAGTATTCCCTGCATCAGCATTATAAGGATATAGCTACTTTGCTCCAACAAACCTAGTAGCCTAAAAATAATGCTTTGTGTGTAAGCCCCTTGCTCATATGCTCCTGGGGGATTCGTTTTTTCTCAAAACCCAGCATGCACCTTCCAGGATGAACATGCTGAAGGTTTCTAGTAAAGCACTAAAATGTCAGCCAGCCACTCGGCTCACCACTGCATTGCGGAAGGAAGGTGTTCTGATTTTAATATTTGTCACACAGGTTTATATCAAAGACTGATCATTTTTCACTGAGGTTCCCACTAAGGCCAGAATGTAAAATTTCATGACTTACACTTAATTTCTTTGAGCTTACCCATTTCTATTCTTTTACCCATCAATGGGAATTATTAAACTCCCTGTCTGTCGAAGTATGCCTAATTTCATGCTACAGATAGAACTGTTGAACTAATAAACCCTCTGCATGTGTTTTTTGTGTTTTTCTTACTATGAAAAGTCAAAATGTCTGCTGTGAGAGAGGGATTTAGAACATAAGGCTGCTGAAGAAAAATGTACTTTTTTCTGTCCAGTGTGAATACTTTACAACTATACTATACCTCCCTTCGTTTAGTTCAATCAATCGTAGCCCAGTCGGAGAATATGATGATCTAAATGGTTCAGCCGAGTGCTGGGTGGTGTGATCAAAGGTTTGTATTTCAGTATATCACATAGTTCCTTTAAAACATTTTTTCATGACTAGGCCTTTAAATATATAGTCAGATAATCAGAAGTACATATAAAAACATTTTAATGTGATCATGTGTATGCTGAAGGCTTTGATTACTAAAACGTTTTCTTGGCCCCAACAAAATGATATAATATATGAAGGAATCAGAAATGCATAAATTATTTGCATAATGGAAACAACTGTTATTGTGCCAACTGCAGCGTACTAAAATCAGAACTTAATAGCAAAAAATTATAGTCCAAAAACTTTAACATTGCTTCCTTTTCCAAATATGATTTTACAATTGTTGTACAAACACTATAAACTGACATAAAGTACTTTAAGTAACTAAATGTTTGCAAAAGAAAGAAACCAATTGTTGTGTGCCATGGTGTTGACCTGTTCAAGAGAGTTAGTTTTTATTAGTTGTGTTATAAAGTTATAACCGTTAGTAAACGGGTACACAGTTAATAGGGCTTCCGTCTCAATATAGCTACATTGCTTGCCCCGACAACAATACTTCTGCCAGTTGAAGAGTTACAGCAGCTGTTTCCACTATGAAAGGAAATGAAATGCTGTATGGTTCAATACTAATTCAGCCACTTAACCACTGATGGTCACAAATGGATGTGTTTTTAGAAACAAAGACACATGAAGACGATTTATTACATACTAATTGGGTTTAGGAAATAATGGAATAAGGTGACGCATGGGTAATTTAATAAATCTATTGCTAGAGGAAATGTAACTCACTACATTTCTGAGTTTTAATAGCCTGCTTAACCTTATGAAATTAATTTAAATTTCACTTTGAGCCTAAACTCAGCTGACATTTCCGAGGAGTATTTTCATGGCGTGCAGCGGAAATGTGTGACTACTTTGAACCAGGAATATATTTTGACTTTGACATTTGCTCATCACTTCCCTCCAACCCTAATACAAATGTGAGAGCCTGTACTGTTTCTGTTAGATTCATATTCTGTGTAACCGTGCATGATGAGAGAGGGGAGAGCGCACTTATTTTGGGAGAGCTCTTATGTGGATGAGTCTAATCTGAGAGGTTTCACACTGATTTGATGGCTGTTTTATGCTGTTTACTGTTTTTTTTCCTCACTGGATGAAAAGCTAGCAGGATGATGACTTATTGAAAGCCAACCAAACACATGTTTTACATCCTCTTATCGCTATACATCTCTCTGTGCATTGGTGTTTAACTTTAGTGTGTGCACATGTGAAATAGTTATTTATAATTATTAATTATTAATTAATAATTATTTATGTATGTAGTGCATTTTTTCTCATGAATGCATTATTTATGTACCGTTATAAGGACAGACTAATTTGATATCAAATATGAGGCCTCCAACAGCAGGCATTCTGGTCAATTATGTTGTGTTCTTTGTTCACTATATTCATTGATTTTTTTCTGTTATGTCCTTAATTTAAACGCAGGCAATCTTGTACTTTTCTACCTCTGCCCTAGAAAACTATAAACGTTTCAGAATTACATCAGACTAAATTCTAGTAAACTGTTATAAATTTCCATGATGGTCTAAATGCTGTTTTATAGCCTTAACATGTGAGCTGTCACAATACCAAATTAACCAGGACTAGTCCGATATTTTGGCATAATGATTGTTTAGCTCACACTGATGGCAATTCGTGCCAGAACTAGTGGTACTACCCACAACAACAATGTGCTGACCAATGTGCCTTTCTGGACAGGTAGGTATGTCCTGGTTATGGCCTTTTGTGAAAAATATATAATGTTCTCTGTGGAAACTCTTATTGATGGTCAAGTGTATAGAGTTTTTGAAAGATTGCTTTTCGGCAGTGTGATTAAGTGACAGTTACAAAACACATACGTAGCACACTTCAGTCCCAGGAGAATGTACTATAGCATACTCTGTATTTTGTCATTTTGCTGAAAGCTGCACATTTTGCTGGCTGTGTAAACCTTGTACTAAATCTTAGCCATTTGAAATGAACGATATCATTTGATGGACATCCGATTTTAAGTGTGTCATTGATTGCTAACTTTAATGTCATAGAAAATAAATAAAAAAGATTTTATGCAACAGTAGGGAGGCAGCAGTGTTCACTTGTAGACTACGTGCCACAACTGAACGGCACAAACATAAAAATAACATTGGCACAAGAAGTTTGATATTGGCAGCCTTAAAAAGCTGCAGCTTGAAAAATCCATATTGGTATTTTTGTTGCACAGTGTTTACATATGTGCATTTACTGTATACAGTGTAGTGTATGTACAACGTCAATATGCATGCTGTATGTTTACTTTTTAGTGTTCTTCACTGATACTTAAGTGCAGTTGTGCACATGTGTTTATTTTCTGCTTGACTGCAAACGTGAGCATCTTTTTCCATGCTTGCCTTTGTTTGTGTGTACCTGTGAATCTGCAGCAACTGTATGTTTGTGTGTGTGTGTGTGTGTGTGTGTGTGTGTGTGTGTGTGTGTGTGTGTGTGTGTGTGTGTTGCCATCTGTCAGGAGGCACAGTGTTCCCCCGGGCAGTCACGTCCAGCAGGCCGTCAGATTACAGTTGTTTACTATACTACGACAGATTAACCCACTGAACAGTAATAATCCTCCTCCATCACTCTCTCTTTCTCTCTCCCATCTTTTCAATCCCAGTCTCTCATTCATCCTTACTCACTCACTTACTTACAATGCTGTATTGTCTTCTGCATTTCTTTGGCATAAATGCACTTAATCATTTTGAATGTGTTTGAATCAACACAAAGGCAATGACCCAGTCAAGGAACATTATCAGATTACAATAAGTCACACATTATTACTTTTACTTCTCTTCTTCCTCTTACCATCTTCAACTGTTCCCTTAGTGAGAAGAGTTAGTTTATCTCTTGTATAATAATTTCATAAATGTCCTTTTATTAATCACTGTTTCAAGTGTATAAAGTATTTGTATCCTTTGGTTTCACTATTTTATCCCGGGGGAACAACCACAACACAACCACTTGACTAGATCACTGTGTGACTAAGCATGAAAATGGTGGCATTTTTAGTACATGTGTTTTGTATCCGATTCAAAACAAGTTCCTTTAGTGTTGTTACGGCCCTGGCCGTATTATTAGTATTATGTCATGGTATTGGGTTCGTCTGTGGTGTGTGTTGGTGTTTTTGTCCCTGTTCCTCTGCAGGAGTGTGCAGCCTGTCGATTGTAGATCTTTGACGGCAACCCGTAGGTCAGCGCTGACTGGTCCATGCCGTGGGCTCGGCTGGTGGAGTGTCGCCTGCTGGTTGGTTCTCCCAGG